TTTGAAATTTTGGTTTGAGGCCTAAGTACAGGCCAGTCATGGACCAAACTTTTAGGGGTGGATTTTGGTCGTGACAATAATAAACTAAGTACCCACATTAAAGCGTACTAACACTGCTCAACCCCGCTCACTGTTACTCTTAAATAATACTTAAGTTCATATTCTTCAAGGTCTAAAATTACCCAAGACATGGGTTCTGATCGAAACTTAACTAAAAGTAACTTTAAGATAAAACAGAGTTTTAAACAAATTTTCCTAATCTATTCGCTAACTTTGAAAATTAAAAACCTACTCCATGCTGTTCAAAAAATTCCAAAACGCTTCAGATAACAACTAATATATCCTAAGTTTCAAACCCAACTGGTTTTACTTGATTTGCTTATCAAAATAATTATTTACAATTAATTACACCCAAATAGGTTGTTTTCTGCAGCACTTTAAAGAAATTGACGGTTCTCTTAGTATACACGAGCAAGGCCAAAAATTTAAGAAACTAGACTCGTAATTGGTTCTAATGATGTTGATTTGAAAATTTTAGGATTTATACCCAAAGAGAAAGACACTTTCGAAATTACTGTTTAACACTAGTTTTTTGGACAGATTTGAACGCACTAGTTAATATAGATTTTGACTCCAAAAAATTATGAGAAAATTCTGGTATGCAATTCAATATGTAATTAATCTATTATAAAAATTTCAATTCAAAATTCATCCGTTTGATATGATTCCTTGATTTTTAAAATTTATGACTCTGTGTAGAATTTTTGAACTAAGAATTACACTCATTCTTTATACATGAATTTAACTCCTCAGATTTCTTAACAGGATATTTATATACAAAATACATAAACCTACAACCTTTCCATCAATGAACTAAATAATAATAGAGTAAGGATAAAGAACAAAGAAAGAAAAGAAGAAAACCAAGGAGGGCTAACCTTTGATGATCACACACAACATAACACACCCAATTCCTTCCTTAGTTGCAACCTTTTGTTTCTCTTCTCTCTCATGGCGGTTGCTGGTAGGGAAATTGTTAGAAGAGCTAGGGTTTTGTTTTTATATATATATATATAATTAACAACCCCTATTATTATTATTATTATTATTATTATTATTATTATTATTATTATTATTATCATCTTTTAAAATTGTGAACATCCATAACAAATTTATTTTAGGTTTAAAATTAATTAAAAGACCCTCCAAATATTTAATTTGCACTTAAAAGATTCACAATAAAATATTTGAGGTTTGTAAAATTATTATTACTTAATTATTTATTTGATTTGTATATTCAGGTTCTCACATTGCCAATACAAGACCAACAGTGAGTAGTAGAGTATCATTCCATAAGGACGTGGTCGATGGTTTCGGGAAAGCATTTACAGACTAGGCAGAGGTTATCCTCAACAATCTGCCTCTGGGACAGCTGGGTTTTAGTGTTAAGCTTTTGATGAAGAATACGCTAAACAAAGTGGAGGAAACATGGGTTAGCACGAATAGCCCACACCTAACTCCAATTGGGAATGTAAGGAGAGCTTTGAAAATCCTTAGGCAGGAGGTAAACAGAATTAATTTTGAAATTTCCATCGGTGAAATGCTTCCAGACACGGATATCATCACCAGAATTGAACCAAGATGGAGAGGTGCTTCAAATTCTAGCAAGGATTTTGGGGGGAATGATGAAGGAGATAAAGGAAAAGTCCCAATCGTTATCCACCTAACAGTCACACATACGTAGTGAAGAATCATTAGGGGTCAAAGGACCTTCAATACAGCCTCGTAAATGACCACACTTAGCCTAATCATCTACCCAAAAATAGATAGTTCTACCATTTTTAAGAAGCATTTTCAACCATTTTTCAAGGATGTCAATACTCTTAAGCATATTCCTCCATATTGGAGATGCTTTATTACAAGATCTCACTGTTTCTCTATACTTTGACTTAAGAGTTTTTGCCCACAGAGAAGTACTCCCACTCGACAATCTCCAATTTAACTTAGCCATTGAGACTTTATTGACCAAATACGTTTGTCTAATGCCTAGCCTACCAAAGTTTTTAGGTTTGGTAACCGTGTCCCATGCCACACCATGAATTTTCCTATGCTCCGAGGAAGATCTCCACAAGAAGTCCTTATTGAGTTTATCAATGGCATTAGCCACCGACTTGGGGATGAAATTACACTGCATAACGTGAGTAGGAATGGCCGCATTCACCGCTTTAATCAGAGTAGCACAACCAGCAAAGGATAACATCTTGCGCTTCCACCCAACAAGTTTACCTTGAATCTTATCAACTAAACATTGGAACGACTCTTTACTAGGCCTGGAATGGTGGATAGGGTAACCTAAATACTTCCCTAAATTCCTAGTGAAGGGGATCCTTAAAATAAATGTAAGAAGTTGTTGCTTGTTATCTTGAACATTCAAGGAGAAAAGAACTTTGCATTTACCAAAACTAATTTTTGGACCAAATAACGAGAAAAACTCCCGAAGGATGAGAGAGATACAATGGCAATTGGCCTTGGAGGCCTCTCCAAACAGAATGAGATCATCCGCAAAAAATAGATGAGACAAAAGGGGGACCATTTCTCGAAACACGGATAGGAGTCCAGCTATTATTGTCATAAGCTTCGGAGATCATAGAGGATAGATACTCTAAGCAAAGAATAAAGATGTAGAGAGAGATATGATCCCCTTGTCTGATTGCCTTAGAAGGGGTAAACTCCTCAATTTTTTCCCCATTGAACAACACAGTTAGAAAGTTAGAAGTCACAAAAGACATGATGAGGTCAACCTAAACAAGTGGAAAATTAAAGGACCTGAGCACAATAAGAATGAAAACTCGATTGTAACCTATTATAAGCTTTATCCAAATCAAGCTTGATCAACATGTTACCTTTCCTGCCTTTTTTCTCATTAAAACTATGCACTACCTTTTGCACAATAACAACATTATCCACTCTACTTCTGCTTGGGATAAAACTAGATTGTAGTGAGCTGATGAGATCATCTAGAAAGGGCCTAAGCCTAGCAACAAGAATTTTTGTAATGAGTTTGTAAATAGTGTTGCAAAGACCAATAAGACAAAACCGAGTGATCACTTCCGGATTGAGGACCTTAGGAATAAGACAAATCAAAGTCTTATTTATTTAGGATACTTATGTGTAGGTCCTAATAAGTGGAGTTATTGTCTAATAGGTCTTATGGGAAAAAATTGTTATAAAAAAATGTCACTAATTGTAAGTTTTAGTAACAATTTATAAAAATCATGACAAAAAAAGTCACTAATTGTCAATTTTTAGCGACATATATAAAAAATTGTCACAAAAAAATTATTTTTAGTTACAATTTTACCAAGACTTATTTTTTCAATAGGACTTGATGAGAATTAAATTCAACTATTAAGACTTATTGGTAGTTTACCATTTGGGATCAATATGACCAGATTCAAAAGCATCAGACACCACTTTGACAACTGTGGGGGCAAGAGGAGTCCAAAACTTGTGGAAAAAAATGAGGTGGAGACCATCAGGTCTGGGTGCTTTCCAAGGTTTGAAGAACCATAACGACCTCTTGATTTCGGCTAGAGAAGGTGTAGCCGCAATAGTAGTGATACACCGAATCAATGGAAGATAGCAACTGGAAAGTCGATTCGACACGATGAGACTAAATGAGGGAGTCGGTGAACAAATCCTCGAAATTGGTAAGAATATTAGCCTTAATTATTAATTTAGGTTATAGAGATAATAAAGTTAATTAATTGAGATTAATAACTTATTATAATTATTAATATCATTATATATTTTAAATACAATATATGTTGAAATAGTCAATTTCGGTTTAATTCCGTGCATAAGGTGTTTGAATCAATATCTAATCGAAAATTGAAAAAAATCAAATTAACAAAGGTACAATCTTATTTTTTTTTTAAAAAATAAACAAAATATAACTATTTCGATCCAATTCAATTAATTTTTTAATTGATTTTTTTGATTTATCTTACCTCCCTGATTGAAGGTACAATTAATTGTATAAATTACAGACCTACGAACGAGGAGTATGTGCAAATAATAAAACACGAAAATTTAAGTTATGTTTGGTTTTAATTTTTTAGCTAAAAAATCATAAAAGATAAAATTGATTACATAAATTAATAAAATAAAATATCATATCTAAATGATAATCATTATATTTTTTCTCTCATAAAAATTAAAAAATTCAAAAACAAAAATTAAATGAGACTAAAAAAATCAAACTAAAATAATAAAAAAATTAAAAATTTAATTTATTTTACCTCTTCCTAAACGAAGCGTTAGACGGAAGAAACACCTGGCGCTTTCTATGATCTTAAGTAGGTCGGTAAGATATGCTTCCCCACAACATACCTACCAGCACTTCTTACAATCGGACACCTGTCTAAAACCAAGTAGCTTGCATTTATTAATGAGACACTAGTTTGACCATAATACCCTCTATTTCCCCCAAAATAACCAACCAAACCACTCTTTTTGAATGACGTGTGGTACACTACAAGAGTCTTTTGCCTCAGACTCCACTTCCTAGGACGACCACTAAGGTCACCTGGAATCTCAAAGAAAGCTCATTTATTTATTTTTTATAAAAAAAAGTTATTTATTTTTTATAAAAAAAAGTTAATTAATTTTATTTTTTTATAAGAAATCTCATTTATTTATTTTTTAATTTTATTTTTAATAAAAATAAAAAAAAGTTTATTAATTTTAACAAACCTCAGGGGGCGGGATGTAATTTCCGAAACCTCAGGGGTATCTGTAATTTAACCAAACCTCGAGAGGTGTATATGTAATTTGCCCAAAAAATTAAGTTGGCTTGTCCTATCTCTCTCTCTCCACGTGTAAAGAAAGGACAGCTTGTCTTTCACTGAAGTGAAGATACCACAAGTTACACCCTAGGCGCATAATAGCACCGATCCCTTCATTCTTGTACCTATGTGTATGTGTATGTATGTATATATAGATATTTACGAAAGAATTCATAGTTTCAGGAAAGCTTAGCGAGGTTTCATCTGGTTCGGAGTCTGAGCAAGGGAGGACTTGACTGTAAGAGAGCGATTTCGCTTGTAATCTCTGTAATTTGCGATCTTGATCGTCGATCGTTGGATGATCTAAGGTAATGAGCTTCAAATCGTTACATACAAGCTCAATTTCTCTGTAAATTTCATTGAATTGAGCTGTTTTGTGTTTGTTAATCTTGATTTTTTTTTAGGTGAATATAGCTCAGCTAGCATATTTATTTGTATATAATTAAGCATATATATGTGTTTTTTGTGCATGTATATATTTATGTATTTATATGCTTGCATGAACGTGTTAACGGAGTTGTGTTTATGAGATCTAGGATTTTGCCTTGTATAGCTGAATTTTGTGAGGCCAGGGCAAAATTGAGATTCAATTGACTAGTTTCTCTGAATAAACTGTTTGGTTTCTGAGAAAGCAGAGGAGAAACAAATTAAAGATGTATTGAAATACAATTTAGTGTCTATAACTTCCCAGGAAAAGAAAGCTGAAAAACTTTCCTCAGCTAACGCAAACTGTTGTGTGAAAGATTCATAAGGCTTGTGTGTGGAACTTTCGTTATTTTTTGTCTTTTGGACATGACTGATGATGGATCATGAAAGAATCAATACTTCAACATATTTTATGTTCATACACTTCCTTAGCAACCAAACGGGTCATTGATCATGCGCAATGAATAGTCTTTTATGGAATTTTGATTGGTCTGCACTTTTTAGGTGATCTAGTGTGGGGGTTGATCGAGTTGTGGCATGTGGATACGTCTTCGCGATTCCTCCAAGCGAATGCCAAGGGATTATGATAACACGGTAGATAAAGAAAATTCGGGTAACCCTATTCATTACCGAGGCAATTGAATGTTGTCCTGTGCCATACGTTATTTTATCTACTCATATTTTTGCAAGCTTATTATTTGTGGAGCCGAGAGGCTTAGTAAATTACTATACTTTAACATGGGCGTAGACAAGGCCTTGTTTCTTCTGATTGGAAAAATATTTTTGGAGTTCCAATATAATATTGGAGTTCGATTAGATTTTGCACTTCTAAAAGCAAACATTTATTGTTTGTTTCTCTGTTTCTGTTTGTGTGTCATTGAAATGTATAATAGAAAGAATAATTGAAAAGAAATTAAAGAAAGACGTACTTTGAGTCGTTTTATGTTGTACCGTATGTTACCTAGAATGCGGATCGTTTTGGTTCGAGGAATGGGTATAGGAATGTGCTACTCCCCATGCTTTAAAATGTGATTCGATAAATGTGATTCGATAAGAGTAGACTTCTTAATTTGACATCTAATATATTATAGTGTATTTTTCTTCATATTAGTCGTTCGACAACATAGTTCTATAATCATTATCAGCCATTGTTATACATTTTGTCAATCCAAATCTCCACCCCATCTATGTTTTAGTTTATTATATTTGACTTTTTCCCTTTTAAGGAGAACTTTTAATTAAAAACATAATAAAAATTATGGGATTGCTTTAGATTGCTAAATTCACTATTTTGGAATGAAAGTATACCATGTTTCAAACATAAGTTCCAAAACGAAAGTCGCTAGGGTGTAAGTGTTTTCTAGTAACACTGGTTGTACCTCAAATAAATTCGAAATAGAGTGTTATTACAATTCAATGACTGTAGTTTATGCACTATTTACATTTAACTATGCACTTACTTGTAACTTTTAAGTTTATTGAGTGCTTTGTTTTCTGGGGCATAATTTTATGAACGATTTTGAGCAGTATGGTATGGTACCTGGACTGAATTATTGTTTGTCTTTTAGCCCTTTTACAGAACAGTATGGGGCAAGAGACCATGAATCCCTCTTGGAAGCTCTCTCTTCCGCATGTGCTCGTGGCAACTACAGCTTCATTCTTATTTGGCTACCATCTTGGGTTTGCTCTCGATCTTGGACTTTCTTCTTTTGCAGTTTCTTATTGTCTTTTCTTTCTTTCTTTATCCTTTTCACCCGACTGATAAGCAAGAACTAAAAAATTTTGATTGTGGCATTTTCTCTTTTGTCTAAACAGCGTAGTTAATGAACCACTTGAAAGCATTTCAATTGATCTTGGTTTCAGTGGGAATACCTTGGCAGAAGGTAGCAAACAAACTGGACGTTTCATGTTGTTTCTTTTTTGTTTTTTTCGCTTGAACTAATTTTTTTATGTGCATATGAAAATAAAAGAAACTAATCTACTTTCTGTTTCTGCATTCGGTTTCTGGTGTTTTGGTTGTCTGTGTATGCCAAATGAAGGTCTAGTGGTCAGTACATGTCTGGCTGGTGCCTTCATTGGATGTCTACTCAGTGGTTGGATTGCTGACGGGGTTGGGCGCCGAAGAGCTTTTCAGTTGTGTGCTTTGCCTATGATTATTGGTGCTTCTATTAGGTAATATGTCTGCACATATAATTAATGCTTTGCCTTGTATGATGTTTGCATGGACTCTTTTAAGTTTGTGAAGTACCCTTGTTGGACATTCGACACTTGAGTAAGGATATGGGATAAGTGTCCAATATGCCTCGTTGGACATGCACCCAACAAGTATTCATAGTAGTGAAGTTTGGAAAATACTATGCTTACCAATTATTGGTATTGTTTGCATCATCCCTTTTCTCTAGTTTTCTCCATTTTTAGTTTGGAAAATACTAATTCATGCACTTTCAGTGCAATGACAAAAAGTTTGGAAGGTATGCTTCTTGGGAGGTTTTTGGTTGGGACTGGATTGGGTGTGGGCCCCGCTGTTGCATCTCTCTATATCACAGAGGTAAAACAACCATATTTTGTTGCATTTATAGCGCAAAATGTATAGGTGTCTAATTTATTTGTTTGTATTTTTTGGTAACTTAGAGATCCGTATTCTAGGAGTGCTTCTCTCTTATCTGGTTTTACTTGTATGTATGAACAGGTTTCTCCTTCTTTTGTTCGGGGTACTTATGGAAGCTTCATTCAGATTGCAACATGTCTTGGACTAATCGGAGCTCTGTTCATTGGAATCCCTGCCAAGAGTATTGCTGGTTGGTAAGCAAAAAGGAATGAATGCTACAGTATTTTTAACTTTATCAGGGACTAAACTGGTTGAACATTTTTATTGTTATTTTTTATTAATTTATTTCTGTCTAGGAAGAAGTGGTTGGTAAAAAATTTATTATACTTTCTGCTCAGGTGGCGTTTATGTTTTTGGGTGTCTGCAATTCCAGCTGCAATACTTGCTCTTGCCATGGCATTCTGTGCGGAGAGTCCACATTGGCTACATAAGGTTTGCTGTCATTTGTATCTGTTATTTTCCTGAGATTGATTTTTAGATTATTTTTTGTGTGTTATCACTAGCTATTGTCTTAAATGGCTGAAGTGCTTACGAAGATCATATTTTTTGATGTATAAAAGAGAGATTTGAAATGAATGGAAGTTATTGTTGATATTACTCAAGGAAGCAGATACCCTACTTATTCTTATAATTGCTATTGTTTTCTTCCCTTTGCACAATCTGCTTGCAATTGGTCTTTGCTGTCCTTTATCAATTATTTTCAATATTCTCCATGAGTTAACTCTCTCTCTCTCTCTCTCTAGTAATCCTCGTGATGTTAAGCAAATGACTAAAATAAATTTTGAGTTTTGCATATATTTGAAGCATCATTTTCTCGGAGTTCAAGTTGACTTCAATTTGTAAGCATGTTGTCATTTATATCATTGTATTCTAGGTGGTTTTTTTCTTGCTACCTTTCAGTATATATTCTTGAACTTGAGAAGAATATTTTTCAATCTGTTAACTTCTGAATAAACACCTCTCTCTCTCTCTCTCTCTCTCTCGCAAAATGGTATATGCTGCCCATTGCTTGGCAATGGAAACTTTTCTTGATTAATAGAAAGTCGCAATATATTTTATACATTATTTTTATCCTCATTTGATTTTCCTTCCATCAAAAACACCTTATTTCCTATGTTTCTTCTTGTTAAAAAATTCTGATGGTTCAACTTGATGTGGTGTAAGATCAAATTTTACAACAAATTGATTAAATTAACCAATTGCTGTTGCATTATGTACTTATGCTATGTGGAAAGTAAATGCTGAGTTTCTTATTTGTGTAATAGCAAGGTAGAATTGCTGATGCGGAAGCTGAATTTGAGAAGCTTTTAGGAGGATCACATGTCAAATCTGCAATGGCAGAATTGTCTAAGTTTGACCGAGGGGATGAGACTGATACTATAAAGTTCTCAGAATTGCTTTATGGTCGCCACTTCAGAGGTAGATGCAATGTTTTCTGATAACACCCTTTTGGGATTTCTGAGCGATTCATTACATTCTTGTCTTTCTATTGTTGAGGTTCACATAATGATGCAACCACCACTTTTGCTCTCTCTCTCTCTCTCTCTCTCTTCGAAATGCGTTGGTATTCACTCCTTCCTTTTGCAGTTGTTTTTATTGGGTCAGCCCTGTTTGCTTTACAACAGCTATCAGGAATAAATGCTGTTTTTTATTTCTCTTCAACTGTGTTTAGAAGTGCGGGAGTATCTTCAAACCTTGCAAACATCTTCATAGGAATTGCAAATTTATCAGGTACATTTCATTTCTTAGTAGAGTAACTTTTCTTACTTGTGGATGACCTATCATATAAAGTGGGTCTTGTTTCAATTTCAAAAATTTTATTATTGCATTACACATCAGTTAGTAAGAAAAGTTTGTAAGATTTGTTAGTTTGTATAACATTTTTCTTCTCAGTGGCCTACTCTCTCTCTCTCTCTCTCTCTATATATATATATATATATATATATCCAGCCACTTGTGTATACAAGGGTATTGACACTGTTATTTGACCAAAAAATATAATGTTCTTCAGGTTCTATTATTGCATTGATTTTGATGGATAAGCTAGGGAGGAAGGTCCTCCTTATGTGGAGTTTCTCTGGCATGGTACAGTATCACATTTTATTTTCTAATAAACTTGCTTATGTACTATTGCAATTGTGATTAATAAAATTCAACATTATATCATACAACTGAACAGAGGAAGAGAAAGCATGATGGACTTAATATGTGCATACGTAGAACTCCCTTTGTATATCTTTGGAGCACAAGTTGGTTACTGTCCATAAAAAAAAGTTAAAAAAATAAAATAAAAACTAAAGTTGTGAAGTTTTGCAGATTCTGATTGAGTAAAAATACAGGAGTATTATACTCAAGGCAATAAATGATAAATGTATAAAGAAAAAATGTCTGTTAGCCTATGTATAGGAACTATTTTTTACCATTCTCATCCTTCTCCCCATTCACAGAAGCAGCGCCTCCCCCCTTTTCCTTGCAACCATTGTTGCAGCCCACATGCATAAAAAATGCAATGAATATGCTGATATTATACACACACACACACACACACACACACACACACATATATTTTAGCAGAACTGGGTTTGTAATAGATCTGAGAATAAGAGGTCATGTACCTCATAACATATCTTATTGTTCAAGTGTACACAAGTGGTTTGTTGTTTTCATGCAAGAAGCATAAAAACTAGTACTTCACAAACTGGCACTGTTTTTTTTCATTGTTCCATGTTGGTTGTGGCGGGTGAGGGAGGGAAGGGGCTTGTGATGGGAGGGAGGAAGCATGGCAGCGGTTGAGGAAGGGATGTTTATGGGTAAATGTAACTCTTCTTGACTATATTTCTGTCTGATTTGTAGATAAGTTGCTATACATGGTCTTAGTAAATTATTTTTTTTCTCCATTAAAAGGAATTAACTGTGATAAATTTGCCACTTATGTGACTAACGAAATGGCCTTTGATAGAGTCAAGTAGAAGAAGGATTCATGTAGCCGACCCCATTTGATGGAACTTAGGCTTGGTGTGGTTTGGTTTGGTAAATTTATCATTTATTGCCTTAAATATAATATAATCCCTAAAAATAACTAGTTTTTGTTTAGGAGTTGTTTCCTTGAAATAGTTTGGCCTTCCATTTTCATATGCATTCTTGAAATTTGACAAGGGTAAAGTGTTGGCATATTATAATCACCGAAAGTCACTTAGTATTTTATATTAGCCGAAAGGCACTAGGGTCTGTAATCATTGTTATGCCCTCAGGGATCATCTTGTAATTGTCTTGTTTGTAAACCCTAATCTTCATTTATAAATAAGGGGTGATATCTCATCATACCCTAAGCTGGCACATTTGTTGGCGGTAACCTAGTTACTTGGAGGAGTAAGAAACAGAATGTGGTTGCCAGGTCAAGTGCAGAAGCTGAGTTTAGAGCTATGGCACAAGGTGTGTGTGAACTTTTATGGATCAAATTATTGTTGAGTGATCTAGGTATTGCTCAGACGGACTCCATGCGGTTATACTGTGATAATAAGGCCGCCATCAACATTGCTCACAATCCCGTTCAACATGACAGGACAAAACATGTTGAGATTGATCGCCACTTCATTAAGGAGAAACTCACTAGTGGTACCATTTGTACTCCTTTTGTTCAGTCTGGTGAACAACTTGCTGACATTCTCACCAAGGGAATTGGGAATAAACCGTTTCATGACATATTAGACAAGCTGGGCATGAGAGATATCTTCGCACCAGCTTGAGGGGGAGTGTTGGCATATTATAATCACCGAAAGGCACTAGGGTCTGTAATCATTGTTATGCCCTCAGGGATCATCTTGTAATTGTCTTGTTTGTAAACCCTAATCTTCATTTATAAATAAGGGGTGATATCTCATCATACCCTAAGCTGGTTATTCAAGCTTCATAAAGAACACTCCTACAAGTAGAGACACCAAAATTGATGTAGGACAGTTGTGGTTGATTACAGCCTGGTGTATATGTCTGAAAGATTGGTAAAAATTTTGCGTGCGTTAGGATTTCTAGGGGTTTTGCCAGAGAATAAGGTTCTAGGGTAGTATTTAGGATAATCAAAAAGGAACATAGAGGGTATTGTCAGTGTTGTGTACAAACAGAGAGCAGTAGCATTGTAGATTTTGTGTTCTTTTGATGTGCCATAGTCGTATATAATCTAAGGAGGGATAAATAAAGGCTTATTCTTTGAGAATTTAAGGATAAATAAAGGTTGACTAAATCTGGTTAAGGGCTGTAAAAGGCTTAAAATTGCTGAAAATTAAGAAGAAGATGGTAGAGATTTTAGGCTCCACAAATAATAAATAAATTTCCATTCATAATTAAAATAGTTCTCTATATAGATTTCTAATCACTCCTAACCTGTCAATACTTGAACCCCTAATTTGGAAGCTGAAGCTTTTAATTCTAAACCCTGTTTGATCAAACTAAAAGTCATATATAAAGGCCCATTACAACTTGAAAAAGTCATATATAAAGGCCCATTACAACTTGACTTGTATTAGGACTTGTGGAAATCCCTACAACCCATCTCTAGAAAGTCCCAAAATTACAAAAAAAAAAGAAAAAAAGAAAAAAAGAAAAGAAACCCTGATCTGTGAAACATTAAAAGTACATATGAACTGACCTTTTTTACACCCAACCTGAATAATTATGGACTCTACCATGATTAGAGCCTCTACCATACCCTGACTGAAACTTGGCCTATGTTTTATGGACTCTTCTAAATTCATGAAGTGCTTGTGGCGGACACTTGATACTTGAGTAAGGGTATGAGATATCTGTATGGCATGCTTAGTTGGATAAGTATATCTAAATAGTTGAGTTCACTATAACTATGCATGAAACTCCCATTTATGCATAACATGCTCTATGTTAGACTGTAACACACTCTACCCTAATATAATATATATATACATAAAAAATGAAATCTAACCATGTCTTGGTGTCCTTGGACATGATAATTAGATAAATTTGACGCCTAGGCACATACCTGCACGAGACATCCATACCAGAGTTGTGCAACATAGAACTTGGCTAATATGCACGTGTCTTATAAATAATACACGTGTCTCCAACTGCATCAATTATATAGTGCAATTTCCAATTTCAACTGTGTCTTCAAGGATTGTGATCCTCTCCATTAAATGTTTGTAATGAAGAGGCTCCATTACATCATCCAATGGTAAATATAATGATCTTTCCTTATTTTAAAATAATTATAAGTTTGCATTTCTATTTCGTATAGTGCTGTGCTTTCTATTATGAGCTTATCATAGTTGCCATATAACACTTGCCTCATTCAACTATTTTATTTTTCAAGAAAATGAATGGATTTCTGATTTATTTCTACATTTAATCTACTCAGGTGATATCAATGGCCCTGCAAGTCACTGCTGCGGGTCTTCCTGTATCAGCTTCTGGAGCTTTGTACCTCTCTGTTGGTGGCATGCTGCTGTGAGTTCTGTTTTGACTTGCACTTCTAATAAGATGCACATGTATTGTTAAAGAAGTGTGTGCATCTGAATGATGTATGCAAATTAGGCTCCGAATGCTGTGAATTATTTGTGACCAAAATCACATTTCAGATGATTGAACAATAATGTTCATAATATTTCAGCTTAAGCTGACAGGAGAAAGTAGCTTAAGCTGAAATATCATTGAAGATTATTCTTCAATCATCTGAAATGTGTTTTTGGTCATAATACGAGACTAGATAGTAAAAATATGAGATATATTTATATAGCACATTGTCTTAATCCTTGGGATTGATTTAGAATCTGTTTTTGGATTTGAAAGATTATGTTCAGACCCGTAATATAAATAGCATGTCAGCTGAATTGGACTCTTTTGCTTTTGATTAAAATTGGGTTAGTCTCCAGATATTGGCTAGAAAGACCCCCCCCAAAAAAAAAAAAAAAAAAAAAAAAGAAAAAAGAAAGAAGAAAAGAAAAAAAGAAAAAGGAAACATTGCGAGTGTTGCATTTTAGCAGCCACCTTGAGTGGTCATGATAGGTTGTTTCTGCATTTATGTAATTTGCAATAGCAGCCAAGGGTGAAAGAGTGCATGTATAGACTGTCTTGATTGAGAATATTGAACTTCTTCTGCAGGTTTGTCTTCACATTTGCTTTGGGAGCTGGTCCAGTTCCTGGTCTCCTCCTATCAGAGATCTTCCCCAGCCGAATTAGGGCCAAAGCTATGGCATTTTGTATGTCTGTACACTGGGTAATATACTTTTACCTTCTTATTTGTGTAAATTACACTAATCTTCCTTGAGGATTATAGAAAATATATTAGGCCCCATGAGTTTGGCATAACTACATTGAGTTCTCTAAAGATTTTAATTTACGTAACAGTTAGTCCTCTTTTCATCAATAATTCATTAGTTATATGAATGGAAAAATGATAATCATCTATTTTATATTGAAATGTATATTTTACCTCGTTTATTCATATGTCTACACACCATCTATATTAATTTTGGTCCACTTAGCTTTATTGAAAGGGAGATCGATGTGATTATACTAAACTTGTGAGGCTTATTGTATTTTATCTAAACCTCAATGGTGAATATAGATCTCGTGATAACGAAGTGTGGGACTTGTAGAAAGTGGACTTATAAAGTCTTTACTTGTTAGAATGATTCATATTTGACCTACTGTTGAATTCATTAGGAATAAAATTGAGATATCAAGGGAAGGGAATTTCATCTCTTTTGCTTATTTTAACTGTTTGGCTGGGATTCTTTTCAGGTGTTTAATTTCTTTGTGGGCTTGCTGTTCTTGCGCTTGCTTGAGCAACTTGGGCCACAGGTCTTGTACACTATTTTTGGTACCTTCTGCTTGATGGCAGTGATTTTCGTGAAGAGGAATGTGATGGAAACGAAAGGAAAATCACTCCAAGAAATTGAGATAGCTCTTCTTCCGCAAGATTAAAGGTATTTTTCTTTCTTGTCAAAATAGTTTCCAATAGAAGTTTGTGTCAAGCGAAGAAATAGATTTTTTTTTAAAAATTTTATTTGCTGATTTGCGAATGTATGTGCTTGCTGCAGTTGAATATGACGTCAAAAATAGTCTCCAATAGAAGTTTGTGTTGAGCAAAGTAATAGATATATTTTTTTTAATTTTTTTTTTGCTGATGTTGCGAATGCATGTGCTTGCTGCAGTTGAATATGTTGTCAAAAATGGTTGGAGTTCTTTAGAAGATTGAAGCATTGAATGCCCTCGTGGATTTGGCAGATCATCTTGGTTTGCATGAAGACTGAAGTTCCGATATAGATTCAACGGAAAGCTTCAGTGCCCAAGGGGTTGCTTTAATCATGTTCTAGTAGATAGAAATTTAGCAGGCAGGTTTTGACTTGCTGAGGCCAATGTACCCCTATATGAGCTTTTAATAATTCAGCATCTTGCATGCAAGATTTATCCCCTAAAGCTGTATATTTACAGGAAATATGAATGATGGATTCGAGTTCTGTTTTTATAAATGTTTATATATTGCAGCTTGCAAGTTGGCATGATGGATTTGAGTTCATATATCTTAAATAACTCTTGTATAAAAAAAATATACTAGTTTTTAGATCTTCAATTTGTGTAGTGACCATAAAACAAAAGAGATTTACTTTTGTTTTTTGTTTTTTTCCTCCACACATTCATTATTCAAATACAGTTGAAGGTTCTATTGAGGAAATGAGAGGAACCATTTTCTTGAGAAAACTGAACTAATCTGAAACAATTCTCTTGACAAAACCAAACTAATACGTTTTTTTTCTTTTTATTCCAATCCAAACGGAGTGTAAGAGTAAATATAAATTAATTTGATAACAAGAAGGAATTTAGTAGTTTTTTAGAAACTTGGAGTGGAGGAGGAGGGAGTGAATCATTGGCTCTGTTCTCCATTCTGGTCAGTTTGCTGACAAAAACATAACTATTCTCGTAGATTATGAAACAATGTCGCAGTGCCTAAGATACACGTTATATTCATACAGATTTATATAGGTGAACTGGCTTTGTCAGGCATCGGACACTTTTCGAACACCAAAAGCACCAGAAAAACTACATTATGCGTCAAAAAGTAGTTCACATACTCCGTGCTGGCCGCAAAAAGCCCTAAGCAACACAACCTCCACAACACCATGGTCTGGATTGAACCGGATTGGGATAAAATCAGAATCAATCTGTTATCTAGGGTTCCTGAAAAATTGAAACCAATCTAATCTATTTAAATCATGGAACCAATCTAATCTATTTAAATCATGGAACTAATCTAAACCAATCCATTTAAATACGGATTGGATCAGTTTAAGATTACGGATTCACATAATTAAATAACAAAATATATATATATATATATATAACACTTTAATTTCATAAAAATATAAACATAGCGCTATATTAGTTCCACAATAACAACATATTTTTCTATAATAGTGACATACTGTTCTAGAATTTAAACAATCATAAGAATCCTTGTTTCATTATAAGTATTTAGACCATTACAAATTAAAACTAAAAACTAACAAACAAAAGTAATAAAACAATATATTTATACGGTTTTAAGTTTGAGTTTAGATTTTATATAGAATAAGAGAATACACTATGGGGAGGATGTATAATAAAAATATAGACTATTTGCATACGGTTCGAATCGGTTCCAATCCGGAACCGTGGGGTTCAATTCGGAATCAATCCGTGGACTATGGATTTTTAATTTTTCAATCTAGAACCGAATCGTGAATTCAAAAAACCAATCCAAACCTATCGAGTTGGACTGGACTGGATCGGATTATAAATTTTACGGATTCCTTGCTCAACCCTAATAACACTCAATACCCCTGCTGTTAAAAGGAAAGAAAAAGATGTGTTACACAATAATGCAAGGAAAAGACTACAAAGATCAAATAAGACACTAAATATTACATTTCATTTTGACCGTCCCCTCACAAGGAGGGGCAGTCAAAAATGCGGTCAATCATTTCGTATCGTGGTATCTGGATTCTATTTGATGAATGTGACAGGCAAGTTTAGATTGTTGACTCACGAAGAGCAAGTAATATTATAGCAGAAAGCTAGAGCTTATAATAGTTTCGGTTCTATAATTATATATACTCATCATCACCATGCATAAAATTTTTGAACTCATCAAATCTTATATGTAAGTCAATGTTTGATATGTAGTGTTGTTGACAATTATAAAGCTTATGTCAAGTGCTTCTATTCTAAATTACAAAAATAAGAAACTTTTTAAGTAACTAGTGCGTGACCTGAGATTGTTTAGATTATCATCATTAACCAAATCCCATATTGAAAACCCAAACACAACGAGGTATCACTACAAAAAAAACTAAGGTTTTAGGAAATAAAATTTAGAGATTAAATTATTTTTTAGGGACCAAATAATTTTGTTGTGAAAAATATCGTTATTATATTTTTAGTAATAAAAATTGGACATTAGTGATGAATTATTATCCTTTTGGGGTCAATTTTTTTGTCTAAAAAAATAAACCATTTTCAGACCAAATTATTTTGTCTTTAAAAGTATTTATTAGTGACATTTTCAAAATTTAGTCGCTAAAAGCCCTATTTTTGACTTTTCGGAACGACCTTCTGGCGACTATCCTCATGATGATGAAAATTGGTTCTTAAATGTCTTTTGCAATAAAATTTCACTTTTAGAAATCAAAATATTTAATTTCTAAAACTCTTATATGTTGTTGTGTATTTCTACCAAATCCCATGTTGGAAACACACACAAAATGATCTATTTCTACCAATTCCCATGTTGAAAACATACACAGCGTTCTATTTCTTCATGGACGTTCCTATACACTTTATAACCTCTATGTACTATGAATTGCACTCTATGAAGCACACTTCAAAATAAGTGTCCTAGAAGTGTTAAACATGTAAGGGACATTGACAAGGCGGGAACACGTGTCCGACATGTCACATGATGTGTCCATTTAAATTTTTTTATCACTTCGCATGGCAGGAATACAGTGGGACACGCTTTGAGGAGCAAGAATCCTTTAGAGTGATTTTTCTCTAAAGTTTCCTAAAGTGCTACAGTGTATGGTTGAGATTTACTGGCAAGTCACATCAATTTTTCTGATGTGACTTGCCAGTAAATCTTAACCACACAATATAGTACTCTAGGAAACTTTAGAAAAATTTCGCTCTAGAGGATCCTTGGTGCGCTTTGAGATCCAATGAGGTCTTATTTTAATTTTTCAAAGCTAAAATTGTAGAGCATATTATAATATTTGAAAAAATGAATATTGAATTAATATATATATATATATATATATAGAACTCATATCAAACTATCAATAACGCAACAAAGATCTAACAACAGTTGTAAAGTTGGGGAGCTGACTTCTAACCATCTTTGAAACCTAACGCAATACAAATCTAGTCTCTAGATGATTTTAATTTAGTGTGTTTTTTTTATTGTTGAATAAATGTTGGTTTTTGTTAGTTTTAGTTGTTTATATATATAATATTCATACACATGGCCAATAAAAATATATATATTTTTTGGTATTACCACCATGTCCGTGCTCGTGTTTCGATTCTTTTAAAATTATCGTGTCTCATGTACATATCTGCACTCTAATCTGAAGTCCAATAGTATCTTGCAGCCAAGTGAACAATTGTTGGTGATAATTACAAATAAAACATCAGAAAATACAAATAATAAAAATTATAATAACTATTGTAAGGGCTGAGGCGCGGGCAATTCGCTCTCTTTAAGAAGATTCAAGTCCTCTGCGGTTAGGCAAAGCCTCACACCGGTGCAGCAGAAAAAATCTTGACTTGTCCCCCCAGGATACAACAGTCCGACTAAGTAGTATGGTTCACCAATACTGCACAATTAGTTGAACCCAAAGTTTTATCGCATACACCATTTTTTATTTGCCTGATAATCTCACACAAAACATAATAAAGTAACCAAAACTTCTTCTCACATCCAAGATAAGAAGTTAGATCAATTTATAGAAGATGAAACTTGTTAGACAAGTGGCTTGGAGAAGAAGACACTTAGGGTGTGTTTGATTGGACGGACTGGAAAAGGGGGGATTAGAATCCATCGGACTTGAGTCCTGGGACTGTGAATCCCCCGGACTATTTAGTCGGATTGGATATGTATCCTGTGTTTGTTTTTTCATGGGATTAGATGTCTGGATAGGACTATTTTCAGTGAATCCAACGTTTGGTTGGACGGACTGGATAGGATAAATGAACAAAAGACTATTTTACCCTTTTTCAATTGTTCACTAAGTAATAGCAATATTAAATACATCTTTAATATTTTAATTATTTTTAGTAAACATTAAACATACTAATGGTTAAATTTTGTTTAAAGATATTTAAACATACTAATATTGATAAAAAAAATTTGACTGGTATAGATTATTTTTATTTAAACAAATAAAAATTTATTGTTGAAATTAAACATACTAATGGTTAAATGTTTAAATTTTTATTTAAACAATTAACATTGAAATTATTTTGATGTACAGATTATGTTTAAACAATTAACAAATGTTGATGTAATTAACAATTAACAAATGTAGATGTAATCAAATGTTGACGTATTAAAACATAATTTAATAGATGTTAAATAAATATACATGTTGATGTACAGATGTTGAAATAATTTAATAAACATGTTGATGTACAAATATTTAAATGTTTAAATAAAACATAATTTAAATAAATGAAATTATTTATTGTTGAAATTAAACATTTAATTGTTTAAATAAAACATCTATTAAAACATCTATTAAATTTAAACAATGAAATTAAATAAAACATAAACAAAATTTTAAAATAAAACATCAATAAAATATCTATAAAAAATTAAATAAAAAAATTAAATAAATAAAACATTAATAAAAAGTTAAATAAAATTATTTTATTTTTAAATTGAGACATTTAAATTTTATTAAATTTTATTAAATATAATACATAATTAAATAGTAGAGGGTCAAAATGGTCATTTTCGCATATAATCCAAACAGTAATTAGTCCCCCACCTTCTTTCCCCCCCCCCCCGACACGATAGATCCCCACCTGGGGCACCTGGTGTCCGCGAGCAGGGGACCATAGTTGGAGGCTACTAGCGAGCTTGGGACGTACATTCCGCCCTTTTGATTCACATTTTTGCTTCTCATCACTTGTATATTGCACACAGCATCCTGCACTCAGCATTCTGTACTCAGCATTCTGCACTCAACATTCTGCTTTCTGTATTCTACTTTTTCTGGTTTTCATTATCTGTACACTGCACACAACATTCTGTACTCAGCATTCAGTATTTTCTGATTTTCATTATCTGTACACTGCATACAGCATTTTGTGCTCAACATTCTGTATTTTCTGATTTTCATTATCTGTACACTGCACATAGCATTCTGTACTCAACATTCTATATTTTTTATAAATTCTGTATTCTGACAGCCACTACCTCGCCTTTCACAGCTATAGGTTTACGCATACTTCCCCGCACTGATTTAAATAAATGAAATTATTTATTGTTGAAATTAAACATTTAATTGTTTAAATAAAACATCTATTAA